GCTAGTGTGTTACGGTGAGGGTGCAATGAGGCTCGGGGTCCACCGGCAGCCAAAGCCTCCAACGCCCTGGACTCCGACGTCCTAACCAGCTCATGTTTCTTCTCCGCAGCTGCCTCCTGAGACTTAGACAAGAGTAATTGGATTCTATTTGAGGGAGGGACAGGAGTGTGATCCTGGGGGCAACAGCCCCGGTAACAAAAAGGAAAGTTGCTTTTAATCAGAATGTCTGCAGTCTGGTGGGCCAGCTTCTAGCCCCCCAAAAAAGAAGCATCTCCGAAGAGTCTGTCCAGCCATGAAAGTCTTAGAGGGAAGTGAAGAAATGATCTCAGTTAATCCCTGAGAGAGGCGGTCAGAGGCGTCGGCACCCCCAGTGCCTGCAGACTTGTCCTGATCAACTGTGGGAGCCCGCTCTTCCGCGACCCAGGGAGGCGGGGAGCCCAGCTTTTCTAGAAACAAGAGGCAGGGGTTGGATGCGGGGAGCGGCCACAGGGTCCTGCTCGGTATTAACAAGAATTAAAATTCTTTTCCATGTCTTTAATTTTGTATTTATATGGGATGATGAGTGTTCACTAAAACGTACAGCGATAATCATCTCATGAAGCACGTACGTAAACTCATTATGCTGCACGTCTTACCCTTAGTGCTGCAATTACGTCTCAGAAAACTGGGAAAAAAGACCCCCAAAACATAAAGAAAGCTATAGATGCAAGTTATTAAGGTATGGATGCAAATTCTAGAATAATCAGGCATGAAGCTGAAGCTGTTTCCAGGGGTGGGAGCTGGAAGAGGTTTGGGGTAGGGTCTGACCATTCACTCTTATTGGCATTATGGACCTGTTACAAGTATTTCCTTTATTTTAAAAATATCAAATAACTGGGTGCAGTGAGGGACTGCAAACCTACCAGCTGTTTAGGAGTTTGGCCGTGCCCAGCTAGAGGAGGAGCGGGAGCAAGGCTGGGAGGCAGGGGGAAGGTACAGCGGGAGCAGAGGGCAGGAGCTGCTGGCTGGGCTGGAGGGTTGATGCGGTGCTGGTGCAGGAGGTCAAGCGGGCAGTTGAGGAGGGTCCCAGAAATGCACTGGGGAGGGGGTCATCCACTGGGCATAATGTGAGCAGCAAAGATGAAGAAACTGGGGGAGAAAGAGCAGGGACAAGGGACAAGGCTATGACCTAGGCTCCCTTGAGGATGGACCCCTGCCTTGGTACTAGAGCCACGTGGCCCAGCTGGGTGATTCTTCCCACAGTGCTCCTCTTGGTGGGACAGAGAATTTGGACATCTAGGGTGGGCAGCCAGGGAGGCGATGAGGCCACCAAGCTGGAGGCTGCTGCTCCAGGGGTGAGTCCGGGCATGGGAGAGGACAAGACTGGGGTGGGAGGGGAAGGGCCAGTCCAGGGAAAGAGTGCTGCTGGGGAGGGACCTTGTGGACCTCTCTTCCCTGTGCCTCCATCAGGGCCTGCCGTGTAGGCAGGTCCCCAGCCACAGTCACTGAGTAAGCAAACACGTGACTCACCAGGTCTTGTCCAGGACATGATGACAAGATGTCTTGTCCCTTCCCAT